AGAGAGAGAGAGAGAGAGAGAGAGAGAGAGAGAGAGAGAGAGAGAGAGAGAGAGAGAGAGAGAGATTGCCAAGGTGTTGCAGACAGGTGGTCTGACTTATACAAGAAAACCTTGAAGGTCCTAAAGCCGATCATTAGAGCTTTAACCCTAAACCCTGAACCTTAACCATAAACCAGCATATTGCTTTGTTGAAGATAAACCAAAAAAGAAATCTGAGGAAAGCTGCTACTAAGCTCAAAATGAAAGTGAAATCTGTAACCAAGCGTGTCACAGGACGCCGAGGACGGGTAACAAGGTCATTACCGTTGGAACAATACAGTCAAAAATTATCATGGCTCCTGCCCAAGGATGACACAAAAGTCGAGAGTCGGCGAAGAGGTCGTCAGGAATGTGGTCTTAATTTCAATGCTGGCAGTAGCAGTATCCATATTGTAAAGATCTCAGCCCATGTCGCCATTCTACGTACTCTGATGGTGCGCCCAAGAATAATGTTTGCAGGCCTCAAACCACCATTTCCATACTATCATGAACAATCAATGTCACCACCATTTCATTAGGATGCCGTTGCTATCCTCAGCGCCATCGTCGAAACAGCATTATGGCCATCACAACAGTCTATAAACTTTCTTGCCATCCATTCTCGTCAATAGCCGTTGTTATTGTCATCTGTCATGAACAATCAATGTCACCACCATTTCATTAGGATGTCGTTGCTATCCTCAGCACCATCATCGAAACAGCATCATGGCCATCACAACAGAGTCTATGAACTCTCTTGCCATCCATCCTCGTTAATAGTCGTTGTTATTGTCATCTGTCATGGTTGTTTCTAATGTCATCATCATCATTCCATCAGACCACCTGTCTACAACACCTTGGCAATCTCTCTCTCTCTCCATCCTCGTTAATAGCCGTTGTTATTGTCATCTGTCATGAACAAGCAATGTCACCACCATTTCATTAGGATGTTGTTGCTATCCTCAGCACCATCATCGAAACAGCATCATGGCCATCACAACAGTCTATGAACTCTCTTGCCATCCATCCTCGTTAATAGTCGTTGTTATTGTCATCTGTCATGGTTGTTTCTAATGTCATCATCATCATTCCATCA